TTCTTAACTGCAGACCACAAGGCCTTTAACTGTTGCAATCCTCGAGAAATGTAAGAACTCAGAGTATTCTTCTTCCCTAAGGTATAAGAATCCAACACCCCAAGGAACTTCTGAATGTATACTTCATAAAAGCTGTTGATGAACTACAATCCACAAGAAGCATAATATTCAGTTAAGATCCGTGCAGACGTTTACGTAAGTATAAATAATGCTCTAACAAAAATTTCAAATTTTATATTAGTTACAACTGAGCAAACAATGATAATTAGTTTCACATTAACAACATCACCTTCAAGAATGTGCATCTTGTAGTCGTCTTGTGCCTTCGAGCATTAAACTCTCTCATCTGTAGGAAAAGAAAAAAACAAAAGGCAACATCAATAAGACATACTTGGTGCATAAAGCAGCACCTTCATAAACTCATCGACTGAAATAATATTGAAGAATGATGCTTCTGCAATTTGAAGAACCTGCACAAGTTGCTGTATTTGGATCCACTGTTCTGCGACAATGTCTGCCATCTAAAAGTGAAGAAAATAAAACCCAAATTACAAAGTACAAAAATAAAAAGTAGAGAACTCATATTTAATTTTTCAGATCCAATAGGTAGTATATCAAGAGCAGAGAGTTCTTTCTTTGACAGGATACCAGTGGAAGAGTAGAAAGTTCTTGTGCAAAGACCACTATATTAAAAAAAGGCCTTCTAGGAACTGAATGGCAAATGAATATTCTTACTATCCAACAAAATCTCAGTATTGCAAAGCAAAAATATTTGAATAGAGTTGCAGTTATTGCAGATAAGAAATTAGAGCAAATAGACAAATTTCTAATTTTTGACAGTTAAGTACCACGGAGGAAATAAAAAGAAAACAAATATTGTCTAGCAAGAGAAATATATTAATCTATTTTTCAGATGGGAAATCATAATTACTGGTAACTACTTCAGCTTCAAAAGCTATGAAAATGAATTTGGGAATTTACCTTTTCAACTTCTGAAATAACAACTTTTAACCGATCATTAGCATCTTGAGTTTTTGCTTGCAAAATATGAGTATCAAAGTTGTTCTTTCTTAAAGAAGCCCACAGAAGTTTTACCTAGGCATTGCCAACCCTGCTTGTCAAATCAGTTAAATTTTCAAAAAAGAATGCTACCATAATCTGCAGTAAGTTTAACAACACTGCTGTAAAATGAGAAGAAAGTGAACAAAAGTATATTGAAATATGAAGTGCATAATTAAATAGAACTGAAACAGACCTCTTCTCGAAGTGTGTTAATTCTTTCATCAATACGTGATGAATCACCCTACAAAAAAGGCGGAAAAATGATCATACGGCCCATGGTATCAGGGGGACATTAACATAGTATGTAAATGTAAAGGAAAATTACAATGTCAGCCTGTGTTTCACAGGACACTAGCTCAAGGCTCAAGTCTCCTATTCTACAAGGAATTAGAACAAGAGTTCAATTCAGCTTACTTTTTTTATATCCCTTTCATATGTTAGCAAAATTGCAGCCAACCTTTTTTGAAAAAAAAAAAAAAAAACCAAACAAAACCAAAAGAAACAAACAAACAATAGCAGAAACAAAATGCAGCATAGAAATTGCTTTCTTGAGGTTCAACCTCCGCGATTCTGTTTGACTCCAATTTCACAGAAAGCTCTCAAGTAAACTAAGAACTACAGAAGTCTATTTACCTACGTAGTTCTCAAGAGTAACATCAGGTAAAAGTTATTACAGGGAAATAAACAGGATTAGACAAACCTTAGTACTATATAGACTGGACTGAAGATACTGAATCTGATTTTGCATATCCTCGATGAACTTGTCACGTTCTTCTGATAATCGACTTTTTGCATCAATCGTTTCGACTATTTCTTCAAGGACAGATTCTGCATTCAAATTATTGAAAACATTTGATATATACATAAATAAACTCGGTAGAACACGACTAGGAATCTTTGCGGACGGCATTTAGTTCACTGATACCAAAAAGGGAAACCTAAACAGGTTATCAATCGATAAGAAAAGAAAATTACCTAACTGAGCGATTTTAAGATTCGCTTCTTGCAATTCGCCGATCAAGTGGTCATGGTCGTCGTTGACATGTTGGTGTTGAGAAGAAAAACAGAAGAGAGATAAGAGGATGACGGTAAACATGATAAGATAAACCGCCATTCTCTGCTCTGATTCTGCTACTCGGCTTTTGGTGGTTTACTAGAAGTTGAACGAAAATGGATTAATTTTGTCCCAAATACAATCTGAAGAACAAGCAACAGTTTACTAAACAGTGTCTCATAGGATATTATGTTGAATTAATAATTTTTTATTATAACTTTATTCCTCAAATTTATAAAATTATTTAATAGCCAATTTTAAAGATTTCTTATAAAAAATAATAATATTTTTATTTTATTCAAATAGCATAAAATAATTTAAAATATAATTTTTAATTAAAATTAGCAATAAAAGAATCAATCTACTATCTGTTATTATCATTTGTGTTGTAATTTAAACAAAATAAATTAATCTTCTTGCTGAATTATGATTTAAAAAAAATTTAAAACTTAATTAATACTGATAAAAAAGTTTAACGATTAAAATGATAATTTATGAATTTATTAATTGCCTTCAATTATGAAATTCTTTCTCTTTGTTTATTTAAAATTAAAAAAGATTTTTACCATATTTTAGTTTCTATAACAACAATAAACTCAATGTGATCTATTAGCCAAATAACCAAAAAGTAAATTATTTTCTTTCTCCTTCCTCTCAATTTTTGTGCAACTAGACATAATTTTATGTTGTGTTTAGATTAATTTGATTATGTTCTCAAATACTTAATTATTGAAAATTTAGAATTCATTCTAACTTGTATATTTAATTTATAATTAAACTAATTTTACCCAAATTTTTAATTCTTTGTGATAGATTTACATTTTTCACTTGTTAATAAAAAAAGTGAAAAATATTTAACTAGAAATAAATATGAAATTAATTTCAATTAGAATTTACTTTTATTCCAATTTATCACATTTGTGTTGTACATTATAAGACTACGAGCTTTAAATTTTAGATGGAATATCAAATTGACATGAGATCGCTTCTCTAAAGCCAAAAATGATATGAGGTCAAGAGTTTGGAAAGAAGGAATTGCCCGTACTCTTTCCTTGGAAGGCAGTTATCCTCCAGATTATGCCTGCATTTACTGAGAACTTGTTCCATGAAATTTACTTTGGGACTTTAAAGATTAGTTTGATCTATAGATAAAGAACGCCAGAGTGAACCTGCTCGATTCCTGATCCTTGGGCAGAGGCACTGGACTTAGAACCAGTACGTGTTTTTGGTGAAACTATCAAGAAGACCAGACCAGTAGTCAACCTGTGTTACTGTCGGAAAACAAGGTTGTAACAATATGGATGGAATAAAAATCTGGAAACCACTTGTTGATCAGATGCTATCATTAAAGGGATTTGGCGATCAGAAAGGACATCTGCATGGTTCTATTCCCCATGTCTCAGCTGCATACTCTTCGATAGTCCTATCACTACTGAATCTACTAGACCTAGCAGTGCTGAGGATGCTCATCTCTGTCCACTTCTCTTGATCCACGAATGTCTTATCTGCAGCAGCCTGTAGTTCTCCAGATACTATCATATCAGAAAATCATTGCACAAGTTACAGGGTTTGAAGACTAAAATCAAGGATTACCTGGGCCTCTAGATAACTTTCAAAATCAGAACCTAGGAGATAGAAGTCCCCACCACCATCTATAGAATCGCATAATGATCTAAAATATTCCTGGTAACCAAAATAGCCATCCCGAACCATCCTGCATAAAAAATCAGTTTCAGCTGAAATTCGAATACAATCTGAGAAAGCAGCCTGTACAGTGTATATTCAGTTTAGCAGAAACTCAAGTACGGCCATTTAAAAAGAACACAAGTTCTCATAGAGCTGCAGTTAATTTCAATTCTATGTAGGTAAACTCTCTTAACGAGCTATCAGAAAAAAAGGAACTCTCCACATGAGATTTTAAAAACACAGCTCTAAATAATAAAAGGATGCAGCAGAAAGGTAGCAAGTGGGCAAGGTCAAATTATATGCCTGACAACACGTGCAAATTGCAGTGGAACTTTAAGGGTCGATCCTTCCTCACGCAATGCTGGGACTTCATGCATTTTAGCGCCAAAGAGAAACTGAAAAAAAGAAAAAGGAAAAAGATTCATGTCCAATCAAGAATCTGCTATTATCAGGTATTAAGCCCCAAAACAGTATATAAGAAAATGCACCACACTGGAAATGAGAATGCATGCAAGAAAAACTGTTATATACCACGCTTCTGTTTTTATAGGTTTAACTTCCTGTTCACAGTAACAATGGTTATATATAGACAAATACTGTTTATGCATTCTCCACACAAATTAAACAACTAATTGCCTGTTTCTCATTGATACTAAAATCTTGCGCGTTCACAAACTAATTATGCAACACGACATATGTACTTGTGAAGAAAAATGGTAGTTATTGTGGTTTCTGGAAGCATTAATACTTTGGTTTGTCTAAATGCACAAAGAATCCATTTGGTCTAAGGCATTAACCTTTATACTCTCCATCCTCAATAATATTGACAAATTATTTTCTTAGTAATATTGTATGGAAAAGAAACGATATCATTCACCAAATGATTGTGTTTGGCACAAGTAAACAAAAATTGTGTAAGACCTAGGTCTTAGAAAAATATGTAATATTGGAAAGGGAGAAGAAAAAATAAATAAGTGGAGAAAAAAGTAGTTGTCCTTGTTTAGATTCATATGATTCTTTCTCAGTCCACTGAATTATTGTGTTAGCAGTTGTGCAGTAAAAGATGTGCCTTAATTGGAATGATAGTATAACAAGTCTCATTTCTTATAAAACTTACCATGTTATCTTCACCAATTTCTTCAATGATTTCAAGAGTGGATCCATCTGCCGTAGCTAAGAGTAAGCATCCATTCATCAAAAATTTCATGCTACCCGTTCCTGATGCCTCGTGCCCTGCAGTGCTGTATAAGATTGAAGGAATTTTGTGTAACACTGAGGAATGTTAAGTAATTTATTGAAATAAACATATACTCGCAATGTTGACATAAACGTAAAATATCAAGCAGTAAGAAACATTTATTAGCTCAAGATACACAGATGGAGTATACAGCAAGGAGGATCTAAGGAATGGTACAAGATTTAACAAAACCTATTAAACCAGAATCGATGAGGGGTATGAGTATTTTTTAGAGGAAGTACATTGTATGTATTTGTTAAGTGATCTAGAATTGTGTTGTCAAATCAATCCTTACACCAGTTTTACTAACCTTATGTGTTGTGAGAGGTCAGCCGCAGGAATTACCAACTCAGCAACAGAGACATTGTAATCAGGAATAAAAACCTGAAATAGGGTAGAAACCACATAAATAACACAGGACAAAGCAGATAAATAGAGGGGAAGAATATAATACTTCAGAAATTCCCACATACTAATATAGAAAATGGAAGAAATATAGGAGAGAATATCCTAGTTTGCTGAAAATTTAAGGTTGCATTCATACTGATTGACTGGAAACAGATGCTAATTAAAACATCCCATGGAAAAATGGAGGGGACAGACACTGTGAGGAAGGGGAAGTAGGCAGCAAAACGAAGTTGCCAGAAACTTGACAGTTCCAGAAACAATCAAGCAGGGAGAACAGAGAAAGGAATAAGAATACCTCATTGAGGATTCACTACATGCCATGTCACAAAAACTCAGAAATTTGAAAGAGAACAACTCATTGAGGACTCAATCTGTGAAAAAGGGGCCATTTTTGTCATTATAGTCATACCGTTTAAAATGAGGCACAAATGATAATGCACCAGATAGAACTCTTAAGTTCCAGTTGGCTGGACACAGACACTATAACTTGGTTCATGCATTTCTGGACCTGTTCCACTTCTAGGTAGATACTATACACATGCAAGTATCTTGAATGCTAAGCACAAACAAGCTAAGGCAATATCCTTCTCCATACCAGCTTTATAAGATCACCAACATCAGCATCATTATTTATCATTTCTGCCACGGCATGACAAAGTTTAATAATCTTTTTTGCAATCTCATAACCAGGAGCAGCTTTTCCTCCTATAATGCAGACACGAGGTACAACCTTTCTTCTCTCACTCTTCTCCATATTCTGTGACAGGAGGAGAAAATAGTAGAAGGAAGATCAAGGAAGTGCTTCAGAAAAAAAAAACATATAAGATGTGAAAGTCTAGTACCAGCACAATCACCATCCTGGTTTAATCATTCATATAGATATATCTGTGTGTTTATTTCTTTCTATAGGCCATTTTAGGAATGTGGCATGGTAATAAACACAAATTATGGTGCAGAGTTCAGAATACTACATCCACAATTCTCATTTAGGATTGCCAAAAGGAATTACTGAATAACTTGACAAAATTGATATAACTACTATAGGCAGTTCAATACTAAATAAACGAGTATTTCCTCTAGATGGAAGAAGATTCTCTTTGAAAAGTAGTTTTGTCCCATCTGTTAGAGTTTGAACAATTCCCAAAGGACTGGCATATTTAGGTCCAATACGTTATTATATCCCTGTAAATATTTCTCTTTCTAACCACATAATTAGTAGTACACTTGTTGTGATTCCCAATACAAGAGCCAAAATAAGGACAAGATAAAAATAGCTTCTGAATGCTAATTAATTTATTGCATAACTAAAAAATTGGGAGAGTCTCATACTCAGAGGTAGCTAACCCTCCAATAAATTTTACTCAAGATATAGAAGTTTCTCATATGATAACAAGCTCTAAATGTCAATTTTAGATGTTGAACCTTTCTCATTCAAAGACTCACCTTAATACAGTCATATCGATGTATAATGCCTAGTATGTTAAGCAACTGTCTTTTGTACTCATGTATACGCTTTATCTGCACATCAAACATTGCATCTGGACTGACCTGCAACCAACAGTTATATTGCATAGGTAAGACCACCAAGAATTTCCACATACAACTATTGGCTTCTGAACAAGAGGCATCCATAGCATGAACCCAAGGAAACTTCACCCAGACCTTCACACCGCTCATTGCTTCAATGTACTCAGCCAATCTCATTTTGTTAACTTTCCGGACCTACAACATGAAAATCAAAGCAAGGGATGAGTAACCACTTCAAATAATAAGTTTCATTTACAGAGAAGCTGCTTGCATATCAAAGAGGCTACCATTTTCCATTCTTGATGGAGCTCCAAACTTTTAGCATATTCTTGCAAGCCAGCTAAAAGGTCAATATCACGGATCCAAGCTTCTGTTCCCAGCCATTTTGAGATAAGAATGCATAAACTAGGATTGCTCACAACAATCCAACGACGCTGAGAAGTCACAATTTAAACTATTTATAGTAGCGAACAAACAGATGAATATCACAAAGATGGTCCCAGTTAGTAAGTGCTGTCTACAAAGTTTTGATACATGGTACTTGTATCCAAGTTGTTTGCAGAAGATTGGATGTTATAAACTTGAGAGATCTTTTTGGAATGCTCAAAATATGATTTGAAACTCATTGGCAAAATGCTTCCTCCACTTAAGATTAAAACATGTAATATGCACCTAGTCATTGCAACCTCAGTTTTTGGCACTTATCTACAACTTCCTGCAATACATGACAGAAAGCAGAGGGGTTATAGAAGGAGGAAGAGATGAAATTCAAACCTGTGTTACACCATTTGTCTTGTACTGAAATTTTTGAGGCCACAGCTCATAGAAGTCCTGCAAAGATTTTCTTCTGGCTATTCCATCAAATCTTCAAGAACACCATCAACAGTTGAATATAATTTTTTAATACAGTAAAGATGTCGAGACAATACAATGAGAAAAACTTCTACCTTGAATACTCTTGTTTTTAGTAGTTCTGAATGCATTCTGGAAACGCCATTCACAGTGTGAGAGCAAACAACTGATAGGTTCGCCATTCGAATATTCTGTCAAGCCAATAATTTCTTGAGGACTTTGCAACTCACCATTAAGTTATATGTATAAGAAGGTGCATAAACAGCAGAAACCATAAAGGATGTTATGAAATGATGGAAAATAATAATTCCATCATATCCCATATAGGTAGATATAAATGTTAGGAAGTGTGGATATATGTAATTTAACATGTAAAGTTATAAGAACAAAATACGCATATATAATTAATTTTAAGGTTCCATCATATTCTTACTGTCACCTACTTGATTAACTGATTACAATCCACAGTGTTGGGTTTTAAAAACCCTATAAAAGTTCCCCCTAAATTTTACTCTGATGTTAGTGTCACAAACATCTTGTTCCTAAAAAAGTGTGTTATCCTTGTCTACATACATCTATGTCAGCAAGGAAAAATTAATCCAAGAGCCCTAAAATGTGTATTTATAGGATATTTTTTTTACTCAAAAGGGATATAATGCTATCATCTGTCCACCAACAAATTTTATGTATCTGCAGATGTTACATTTATAAATATAATCTTACTTTGCTCATCCTTATCTTCAGGGGGAGTATATATTAAAACATAAGAACTTATTATTTTTTGACATTATCTTACCATCAACACCACCGTCATCTACACCACCAGCTAAGTGACCTATCTCAATTACGTCACAACCCAGAAAACAACTCCCTCCCATCACTCCAAAATCTAGAAGATGATTGAACAACAGAAACCATATATAACCCGAAATTCTCTCAGATTTACTCGAAAATGAAGAATTTGGATCCTAAGCTGAAGCAGGTTCAAGCATTAGAGTTAAATTCTGGAAATAAGAGTACTTCTGGAAACCCTTTGTATTTTGATATTGACGTACCTATTTCAATTCGTAAAGGAACTAGAGAAGATATTAAGTGTTCGCTTTATCCAACTTTAAATTTTGTGTCATTCTAGTTCACCATCTCACAGGATGTTTTCATGAGTTTGAATACAGAGTTTATCTGTAACTTATAGTCTGTAGCATTATTTCGTGAAAAATAAGACAGGATTACTATCTCCTTTCTCTTGGAAGAGTAGACAGGATCTAATTCAAAGGCCAGGAATCAACTTCTCACAGAGAAACTAGAAAAAAAAATTAAAAATTAAAATCACAGAAAAGGGAAGAAGACACTTAGTACATCATACATTCAAGTTTGTCCAAAACCTCTAAACAACCAAGTCTACATCTACAAGTAAATGCAAGTATGAAGCATGCAGTAAATGATAGAATCAAAATTTACAATCAATATTTTAAATACCTTAACAGCCCCTTCCTCAACAATTGACATCCGGGATAACCGATCATAATCCAGACCAATCCTTTTCTTCAAATCTTCCATGAAATTGAAGTTTATATCATATATAATCTGAATGAAAATGACTTTATCAAATCCTAGAAAATAAATGTTAGAAAAAAGTCAACAAACACCATTCAATGAAGAATTGATTATATAGAAGATTATTATAATCACCTTCACTTAATTGAATGTTTCAACAAAAAGAATCTACAAGAAACAAGCTTACGTATTTTCACTCCCAAAAACAGATAGCAAATATTAAACTAAAACTCACTTGTAAATGGCGTGGGAGAAGAGTCCCCAGTAGATCAACAGGAATTTTTTCGAGTCCTGCAGATGATACAGTATGAGTTGTAAAAGAAAATATTTTCAGTACAATGTTCCATGCTATATCCCAACCCAAATGCTCTTCGTCAATGAGGATTCTCATGACCTCAGCAATTGCAAGGGACGGGTGAGTGTCGTTTAGCTGCAAAGCAACCTGTATAAAATGCATAAGGAGAGTTGAAGTCACCACAAATGAAGATTCTAATTAAAAAAAATGGTGCTTGTGAAAGAAGATTCTGCAAGAACATCAAAGGCCTTAGTCATGTATAAATGCATATGAATGCTGAAACCATGTTAGATTAAGGAAGATGCGCAAATTGGGAATCTCTCGTGGAATTTCACAAACCTTATGTTGCTGACCTGTGCACTCACCCTGACTCATGCAAGAAAATGTAGGATCATGTCAAGCTCTTTTATGCAACTTGACTTGTACGTATAATTTGTCTGTTAATTGTTTATGACTTCACAAGGTGATGAAACAAATAGTGAATGTTTTTCTGGACTACAATGGGCTTGTGATGAAACAGTTCCTGAATCTTCTGCTGAGTTACAATGGGTTTATGACGAGTTTGAATGTTGATTCAGCCTATCTTAGCTTATGTGAAGCGAATGCAAAAGCAACGAATGCAAAAGCAACGAAAGCAATTAGTGATAATGTGTTTCTTGGCGAGACCAAAACCAGTATTTAAGCTTATGCACTCCTAAATTCTAGGGAGTATCAAACTTCCTCCTCTTCCTAATGTATGCATAAGTTTTGTGGTCTTCCTCTACGGTATCTCCTCCCAAGATGCTAATAGCATCAATCCTGTCTCAGTTATCCAAGTGAGTAGTGATAGCCTGGGGCAGAGGACATGGTGGTCATGGTGATCCTTTTCAAAGGTAGTCATGCAGGCTGTTCCGATGGTGGTCACGGTAGCTGTGGTCCATTGGAAAGTGCTCTCATTGTGGAAAAGTGGCCGTACACGCGATCATCATTGGGAATCGGTTGGTAGACCACCTCAAATAGCTAATCTTGTACAAATGTGATTGAACTGCAAAGTTCAACTCCTGCAATAACTGAATTTGATAGTACGATAGTTTCTAAGAATGAGTACCCAAATTCCTTCAGTATCAGGTGTCACAACAAGCTTCCACTTCTGTGGCCTCTCTTGCTCAATTAGGCAATCATACTCCTTTTATATATTCATTCCTACATTGTGGTTGGTAGATTCTACTGCTAAAGACCACATATTCAGTAAATAGAATTCTCTTGCACATATTTCATGTCTCCTCCAGCTCCTGAAGTTATTTTGGCAAATGGGAACAAATTTCATGTTAGTGGGTGCAGGACCTATTTGCTTGACATTACATCTTACCCTCTGCTTTTCACATTTCCAGCTCTCTATTTGATCTTATGACGCAAAACAGAAGTACAAAGTAAATTTTGGGTGATCTTGCTCAAACTTACAAGGTTACTTGATAATGTCCAGACGAATTAAATAAACTGGAACCCACTAAAGTTTTACTGGAATCTATCAAGAATACGAAATTTCTCGGAATCCACTAAGAAGAAAACTAGTCACTGAAGAATAATATAGAATTTTATTACCAAGCAATCGCATAAGTAACCGATAAAAGTATGGCCATCTTGACTGTGTAACACAGCAAGAAATTAGATACAAATCTAACTGCCTTGATACTTCTATGTCATAAAACATAGCAAGTACATATTTATGTTTTTGTTATAGAAATATGCAATACTATAAGGGCACAAACCTTTTCTTCAAAGTCATCGAAGTTATTGTGACTATCTTTGTATCTCCTAATGATGTCTTGTAATGATGCCGAGACAAAAAAGTATTGTTGTTTCAACCGCAATTCCTTTCCCTGGAAAAGGTCAAACAATAAAATTGTAGATATAATATGAGGGCAAAAAAAATCAACTAATCCAACAAAGTTAAACTAGTAGGAACAAATACATTGCAAATTTTCTTGAAAAGCATTTTGAACAGTCTGAAAAGGTGTCCCAACAAACTGCAAAGTTAACAAGTGAGTGTGGAACAGAAGTCAAAGTAAGATTGCTACATCTCAGTTCGATAGTTTCTTTTAAGCACTTTTCCCATGCCACAACACCTTTAAGATGCAATGTATAGGGAAACTTCATTGGAAATTGCCAGCATAGAACCTATGTTGCCCGAACTCTTTAATTTTAGTTTCATACCCGTGTCAAACACGAAAGAATGTCGGTATGGCTATGAGATGTGTGTCCACTTGGTGTGCATGAGACAGTTGATAAGCTAGAGCTAGAAGTATGATATATGATAATATGAAGAAGATGATGAGTCTCATATTAGAAGTTGAAGAAGAAAATATAAAAAGAAACATATTCTTGAATTTCTAAATTTTGTCCATTTTTAATAATAAATGCCTAATAAGTTGTGTTCTTTTTGTGCAAAAGACTTTTCAATTTATTAATATGAACTTATAGACTTTCTTAAAAACATATTAGTTTTATTATTTTTCATATCAAACACATCCAAGCGCCTGTATCCAATTTGTAGACTCTTATTAACATAGATCTTTTATCTTGGACTATAAAAATTAACAAATCACATAATTAGATTTAACCATGCTGAATATTTACACCCAATTCCGAGCAACATGATGTAAACTTGAAGTTATTTCTAGAAGTTAAGACGCTCATAATGTTACTGATAAGAAATCAAGAACAGAAGAAGATTGCAGGAAAATTGATGAACACAGTAAGCAAAGTGATTGCAAATTCAAGAGTGCTATCGTCTCTCCCCTTACACTTCTTTTCCTATATTTCTTGATTTCTCTCGCTCTCTCTCCTGCCACCCTATACTTCTCTCCCTCCTAACTAATGTTTGTTATTTCAGTTTCTTTTCCTCCCAATAACAGAAGTGCCCCTCACTCAAAAAAACTGCATTGCTAGTAGGTCTATCTTGCCCGTTCACCCTTCTCTCTTTTCCCTCTCCTTTTGTACACAAACTTAATTGGGTGTTTATCATACGCCTATTATAGAAGTATTCACAGGTTTGTTTCACTGGGTGGAACAACCGTCTAATAAAATAGTTATTCACTGGGAATGGAATAATGTTGTACGATTATTATGTTTGGTTCAGTTGTAAATAAGATTAGAATAGACCTCCAATTAGCTCCAAATGACTGGAATACACTTTTACTGTATTTAGTCGAAAGTCTATTTTACTGCACATTAACAATTACATAAAGAATCTAATAAATATTAGAACTACATAAATAAACAATACTACCATAGTTAATAAACAATTAAATAATATAATTGCATAATAATTATAATTACATTTCTCTAATATCATAGAAAATATAATAAATGTCATATAAATTTTTAAAATAACCTTAACAAAAAAATCTAAACTCGTTACAAACATAAATTAAAATTTAATTTTAAAAAATTTTGAATTTTCAATACTAAAGATAATGTTTAACACCTATTAAGATTAAAACATATTTAATAAGGTTTTGGTCTTAATTTACTAGTTAATCTTGGGATGTGCTCTATAAAAATAGAGTAAACTGAGGATATTCAAATTAGAAAATAGTATTATTAAGAGACTATAACCCGCTGGGCATGTATTATGGTTACAGCATCTACTATAATTAGCAAACGAAACATGGTAATAGGTGTGTAAATGTTATAGTTATACAGTAGCCCCCTATTACAAAGCTACACCAACCAAACAATCCATTGGTGTGAAAGCAGCATAAAAGGTCGAATCAATATTTAGAAAAGTACAAAGTATCCTAGCAAGTCAGTATGGAAAACGAAAGTATAAGGTGGAATCCAAGTTTAGTAGAATCAAATTTAGAAATCTTATTAGTCGATGAAAGAAGTACCTGGTAAGAACGATCATCAGGGTACAAAACGCTACTTATTGTTTCTGCTCTCTGTCTATTGACAATGGCATTGATGTAGTCACCAGTATTATAAGACTCCTGCTAAGAAGACTTACTTTAACCAAAAAAGTAATAAGAGCAAGACATCTAAATAAGTTAAACCATGATGTGAACAAGAATATGGAAACATTTCCACAATATATTGCTCTTAAAAAGAGAATAGTTTGATAACTATACAACTTTTTGCAAAAAAATTATTTAACAGGTGAAATCTGCAAATTGAGTTGACTAGAGAAAAAATAAACTCAAAGAACAACTACCATAAATGTTGGTAGGTCTCATGACCAAAGAAATCTTGCTAAATGCACTCAACAAAATTATTATCAAAGTAAATATTATTAATATGCAAATAATATATTAGGTTACTTATTACCAATTCAAGTTTCTTACTTTCTTTAGATAATTGATCAATAATTTATTTATTTAACATAATGTCAGGGACAGAACTGTAAAGTTCAAAGTTTAGCTGCCACCTAATTATGTTAGTTAATGGTAGCACATGGTATAATAGATGTGTGGTTAATCATCATATTTAGCTTAACAAGCTTGCGCATGATGGGCCGCATTAATGTATAAATATTAGACTTGGTCATTTTCTATCAATTTAAACTTTTGAATAATAGATCACAATCTAAATTTAGCAATTATGAAAGGTCACCTCTTAGCGGTTCAAAAATAGATGATAATAAAGAACAAGCAATCATTTGCCATAAGAAGAATACATTTTCCTTTCCGCTGAAATTTACCATTAGTAGGAACAAGACAAAGATGCATGCTTTGTAATGCATGATTGTGGGTTTAGTCAATATTACCATATCACTCTGATCACTAGGCTTTGCAGCCCAGAGGCGGAGATTGATGGTATTCCTTGTTCCAAAACCAGGTATAGGATTGTCGTATGCCACTGCTTCAACCTACCATAAATATTTATGAAAATGCACACATAAGTAAAGCGTCTTTCAAAATGGATTTATTCTAGCATCTTATTCTTAGAAACTAGTGAAATTTAAAAGGATTTTTGGAAAAGAAAAGAAATCAATATTTTAAATGTCAAAAAACGCTATTGTCTTACTGTTTCTCCAGGGACCCAGACTTGAAACTTTTCCCCATTCAAGAGTTCTTCTTCAACAATCCCATAGAACTTGTACATCCAAAATGGAGCAGAACATCAATGCAGAACTTGAGACAGATACTGACTAATGGCGATTAATTAAAAAAAAAAACCTTTATGGGGATAGAAAAGGGAAGTACTTGCAAACCTTCACTGTATATGATACGTGAACACGCTCTATCTCCCAAGGATTTCCAAAATTCAACCAGTAATCAGGTTGTTCATGCTGAAAACCATCCAAAATAACCTGACGGAATAAACCATATTGGTAGCGTAATCCATAACTGCAGAAGGAAGATGCAGCACCTTCAAGTTATATATACATCCTCAAAGAACACCTCTAGAACAACAACCTTTTCAAAAGGTTTTTGAAATTACATTTAGGAGGAACAAGAGGAAAAAAAAACAAAGCTGCACAGAGGAAGAAAAAACCTACTGATCATCTCTCTCTCTCTCTCTCTCTCTATCTCTTTAGTTTCTTACGTTCTTCTGTATCTTTCATTACATTTGATCTAATATCTAAAGAATAAACAAAACAAAATTAGTGAAAAGTCAAGTTTCCTACATTAATCTTGTAGAGGAAAAGAGAAACAGATTTTAATTAGCATATAGCCAGTTTCTTCTTCTCGAGAAATAGATCATTCACATTATTATACTCTTGATATCATCTCAAGTGAAGAGGACTTGTACCATTGATAGATCTCAAAAAATAATAGAAAACGAAGGCCATAATGCAAACCTGATAACTGATTGGATCCAGAAAATTGCTACTTACTAATAATTCCTCCCAGCCAATTGCTGAGGCCTAGAGTAGTTAACTACTATAAGACCTACATAGAAAAAGTCATTGAAATGAATTACCAAAAAGAGTCATACCCCCATGCAGGATAGTCCAAAGTTGCCAGAGAATCCATTTGACATGCTGAGAGACGAGCAAGGCCACCATTGCCAAAGGGCAGCATCTCCTTCCTTGAGGAATGTATAAACAGTCATTCAAAACAATAACAACATTCAGAAACAGGACTTATATACATGAATTATATTGAAAACCAAATTGATTCTTCAAACTAGTTCCATGTCTCCAATTTCTAACAAAAGGAGGTGTCCTTTTTATTCCACAAACCCAGTTCCTCTTACAAGTTTGTTTTTGCTGCTATTCAAAAAATTTTCCTTGAATTGTACAGAAAGATCAAGATAATCAAAGAGGAGAATGCAAATCATGAGCTAACCTGTTCTGCCACAACCTCAAACTCAAAACCAAGCTGGCTTAAGGCATCTGCATATTGATCTTTAATCCCAAGGTTGATTACACTATTTGACAAGGAACGACCTGTAATCAAAACAAGACTGCTTCAGCGGTTCGTATCCAGAATAAAAAATATTCAATGGTCAAATCAGTTACAACCAGAAGATAAGAGGTGCAGAGATCCAGTAACAAAAGAACAAAATACAAGTATGTTCCTGCTTTGAAATAAACAGTTGCAAGAAAACCATGCAATCGCTGAGACAAGGTTGTAATGGATTAAGACATGCATCATAATAAAGAGAATATGCATGTAGATGAAGATGAGAAACAGAAAAGATAAAGGCACAAAAATTCCGATATGACTTTCAGCAAGCTCATTAAGAATATTCTAGTGCTGAATACAAGTACCAAAAAGAAGGAAAAGTCTAGTGAAAATGAAAAGGCCTCTTGGTTTTAGAACATGCATATTGATGCTTTTACACTTTACAAAAAAAAAAAAGCACATACTAATTTTCTATTAGATATTAAAATAAAATTAGAGTGGGAAAGAAAAAGGAGAAAAGTCTATTACACATCTCAAAATTGACAGTTTTGAGAAGGCAATAAGAACTTGGAATTTCAAATTTCATGCATACTTTATTAACTAAAATGGCTATTGGCAATAATGGTAAAGCATACATCCATGAAAAAAACTTTCAAGTTGAAGAGAAAGAAAGACATATATGACAAGCTTAACTTTAACAAGAAGGTGTTAGAAAATAGAATACAAGGAAAAACTCTAACAGAAGTTAAAAATTACCCATAAGAAACTCAAGTGAGAGAAAATATAGACGCTTTGGATCTTTCCTCTTGAAGTGCATTTGAGTATCATGCCATCTCTCAATCAACCGATCTCTTACACTGTGTGCCAGAGCCTACATATGCCATCGTACCCAACTCAAACTTCTAATGTCAATTCGTAAATATTGTATTTCAAACTTTTAGTAAAGAAGCACATTGAACACTCTTCACCATATGCCTTTATCTTAAGATATTTTTTGGTCCTTAACGTGGTCATAAATAAAGACAAAACAACAATAAAATCTAATAGCCAGAGAACCCAATTTGAGCCTCGACATATCTTGGAGTTCAAAATCTCTGAACTGCATGCATTTTCTTGTAAAGCAGTAATATTTTACCAATGAATTGAATGCAACTTAAAAGAAGGGAGGAAAAGAAATGCTGCATGCCATAATTCCCCCAAGTAATTTTGAAGTTTCGACTTACTCCTCATACATTTAAAACAATTTTTTAAAAATACAATTTGATTATAACTCTGGTTTCCTTGTATATTAACTCACTGAACTTAGAATTCTGTCAAACTATGATGATCTATTTCTATAAATATTACAACAAAAAATGATATCAAGAGGAAGTCTAAGATACCTTTCCTCAAAAGCAAAAAAAGCATAAAACAGAGAAAAGATAGCTCTGACCTTTTCTATCAAGTCAATTAGTTTAGTCATATTGTGCCAGATGGGGGATTCGCTACCTAAAATGTCAGGAGGGTCTTTTAGCTTTTTCTAGCAGTATAGAAAGATATAGCCAGCAGGGTTTTATCCTGAGCTCCCCAAGAAGCTGGCAGGTGACCATTTGGTGAAACCACTGGGTTTAAGTCGCCATTGCTTGGTTACTTCAACACATTTGACTCATAGTAACTTGGTTTCTTGTCATATAAATGGTGGTGGCTTAAGGATATGTTCGGGATGAATAAACTATTTTCATGAAAATTATATTTTATACAAATACTTAATTCAACAACTTGAGGATGTAAGTTTTTAAATAACTGTTTCATTTTCAGTTGTAATTAATTTTATTTGAATTTTCATCCCCCTTTGAAATGAATATACATTTTCAAATAAATGGTGAAGAAATATCTCCTTTCTTCCAAACATTCCCTTAATTTTGTATCAACTCACATGCTCTAGATTTCCTTTTACGATAGCTTATGTTAATCGACTAGGAACACTTTTTAGTATCCAAACACTATTGTGAATTGAACTCGTTACATCTTTTCTTTCAAAATTTATTAAAAAAAAAAAGAAGTCATTATAATCCATTACTAACTTAAGAAGATATACTTTGGGATCCAAATAACATCTCCGTTTATGGCAGGAAACAACTAGAGTAATCAAGAATTTTGTGGCGTCAGAGTACAGCCTCTAAATTATTCACATCACCAGTATACATTCCCAAACAGCCTTTTCCTCCAATTCCCGCCAAAATTTAAAAATGCTAAACCCCAACAAAATTTTACTCCCCGTGTATAACTAACAAGCAAACAGCCACTTAGGAGCTCAAGATTGAACAGAAAAAGATAGAAATTACACAGTCAACTTATGTATGCATGTTAAACTTGAATATTACCTGATAAGCTTCAAAATCATCGAAACTAAATCTTGATCGTGCCACCGTATACTCAACATGATGCAAAATATCCTTTTGTAAACTAACCGGATCGTTCTTCAGAAACGCATCCATCAATCCAAACATCCGCTCTGCTTTAGCACTCCCATCTCCGAGCCCTAACCCGAACCCCGCGCGCCTAACCACGAGCCCTCTTCCCGCAGGCGCCACTGCCACGGACGTCCCCGTAGTCCCATCACCACCGCTGTCGATAGCCTCGAACAGCGCTCTTTTGATCCTATCGATGTTATCTTGGCCGTCAATCTTGTTGCCATGGGAATCGGTAACGTAGAACCTCTGAACGAAGAAATCGCCCTCCAACTCGATAGCGGCCCGGTCGACGAGGAGCCCAAGGACATTGAAGACTCGAGTGATGACCTGGAGGAGACCGATCCGGTTACGCGTGCGGATGACGAACTCGGTGGCGGTATCTGCGGCGGGATCTTCGGCATCGACGGTTACCGAGGTGGAATGGAGCGATGAATCACCGGTGGAAGCGAAGGCAGGAGAAGTCAGCTTGATGGATTTGTAGACTAATGGCAACGCAAAGAAGGTTCTGGAAGAAGGAGTTGAGAAACGATTGGGAGCGGAAGCAAATGGGAGCTTCGATTGGTGGAGAGCAATGGCTTGGAGAGGCAGTGTAAGTGAAGTCATTGCAGAATTTACAGGCTACACTTACAGATTCATGCATAATCATGTGAGTGAAAGTGAATCAGTGAGATAGTAACTGAAAGATGCAGTGACTCTAAGCGAGCTGGGAAGGAAAATGAAAATGGTTGATGGAAGAGGAGGCTGTTGAAGTCTTCTTCTCTTTCCCTATCACTTCAGGGGGCAGGATAGCAAGTGGTCGTCCGCAGCAGAGTATGGTGTGTCAACCATTAATCTGATGCCACGACTGCTATTGGTTGCGCGGGAAAAAATGATGACACGTGAGTTGATTTGCAGGTGAGTATAATTTAATTGAATGATCACGTGAAGCAACCGTTGCGTCTGCTTCTTTTTACCAGGTCTCGAGAAACGCAGGAGTTCGCGGGCTTTCCCCACAAAGACGGAAAGAGTAGGAGACACCAATGGATCTGCGTTCTTTGGGGATTGGTTGCGAGCCTTAACATCTACAGGTAAGAATTCCCACCTTTTTTTTTTTTTAAATATTAATTAATTAATTGGGAACTTAATTAGAGTAAATTACAAAATTATGTTCAATCAGTTTTGGGTAAGTGGAGTTGTGAGCGGGTTTAGGTGTAAAATGTCACATCTGGTACGTACAGTATCAAAACCTAATAATCTATCTCTATAATTCAATTATGTCTAAACTAATTTTATTAAAGAAAACTTCCTTCTTTCTTACTGCCATGACCGTAGATTTTAGGATTATATCCATAATAAACAACTATAAAATAATTTCTTTTATTCCGATAATAATATATATTTATGTATTTTTCATTCAACTCTATATAGTTTAGTAACTAGTTTAATTAAAATATATACAAGTAATTCAAAATATTAATACATGATATAAATTTATATAATAATCTTCATTCAAGTTTATCCATATAACTCAGATTTTATTACAAACATATATATATATATATATATATTATAGTATCTATTATAAAACACTTTATTGTATTAGTATATCTGAATTAATAGTTTTTAAATCTGTCATTTATATTTTATTGAGCCTAAATCAATACTTTTAAAGACGAGCTCCTCCTAATCTCTTTTTAGAATATTCAAACTAATAAAGTAAGCAAAATTTAGAAGATTAAAATATTTATCTAGATAAAGATTCTAATAACTCTTATTTTTCTTTTTTATTGAAAAAAATAATATTTTCCTTTTAAATTCTTTTTCAAATTCAGCAATAAAAATAGTTTTTTGGGATGGTTTTGGAGATTTATAAAAATTAAAAAATTAATTATAAAATTATATCGCATAAAAAAAATAAAAGTATAAATAAATAGTTATTATTTAATTAAATAGTTATTATTTTTTAGTACATAAATTTAAGTTTTATATTATTAAATAATTTAAAATAAAGTAATCGATAAAAAATATAAATTATTAAAATTAATCATTAAACTTTGACACCCGTTTTGATCTTTAACATTTTTTTCATTACAATTTGATCTTCAACTTTTTCTATTTATTTCATATATTCAATTTTATTTCATTTTTTAATAGTAAAAATTGTAAAAATTATATTATGTTTGGACATTTTAAAAAATAACTCAAATAATAATTTTTATAAATTAATTAACTAAAATTTATTATTTTAATTAATCAAATAAAATTATTTTAAACTATTCTTTTTAAATATTTAAAATAATTTAAAATTAGTAAATATTAAATTATAATAAATATCACATTTTTAAAAATTAATATTATAATTTGGGTGAATAATAATAATAATAATAAGAGATAAAAAGAAACTCACCCACCATCTATTTAAATTTAAGAACACGTTGCATAATCGGGAGAGATCGGAGGCTTAAGACCACTGGAATTATCTGGAAACTTCCCCACCCTTCTGGTTCTTTTTACTTCTTCCAGACAATTCCTTACGACCGCTATCCTGCTCTTTTAATTTTCTCTCCTTCTCCCACACAATCAACAACATCAACAACTATCAATCAGATCCTAACACCACTGCAAATATTCTAAACAGAAGCAAAGCAACCTAAACCAGCTGCGGCGAGAACATCAAGGAAGAAAGGAGAGGTAATACAAGGAGTAACTGAGTAGAGCTGTTATGGGTGTGGATTACTACAAGATTCTGCAAGTTGACAAGAATGCAACAGATGATGATTTGAAGAAGGCTTATAGGAAGCTTGCCATGAAATGGCATCCTGATAAGAATCCAAATAATAAGAAAGAAGCTGAGGCTAAATTCAAGGAGATCTCTGAAGCTTATGAGGTTAGATGATTATTTCCTTTTTGCTACTTCGATTTTTTTTTTCCTGTTATCCTCTTTTATCTAAATAATATATATATATATATATATATATGCAGTCTCTCCATTTCTGTTATTTGGTATAACAACTGTCAAGATCATAAGTTGTTTTATAGGCAATTTGGATGGAAATTTTGAATTATGTAATTTTATCTGGATTTTGGTAGAGTTGATATTCACAAATCCGATTTAATCATCTGGAATTCATAATTTTGTACATTTGCCGCCTCCATGGAGATTTTAATGATTGTCCATCAATGTGGATTTTCTTTTTGCCTTAGTGAAATTCCTCGGACTACGAAGTTTAATCTCATTTTCTTATAGTAAATAACAAATTTTCTTGGATTTTTTCCATATGGTTAATCCTAATTTTGGACATCCTATGAGGATTTTTTTTTTTTTTTTTTTGAGTACTATCTATGAATCTAGGTTGCTTTTTGTGAGATTCGTGATGATTCATTGAAGTTTGATCCCAAGTTGTTACCACACAAGCCAATTTCATGTCTCTCGACCTATCATAAGTTATTAAGTTAGCTGTTGACAGACCAATTGGCAGCTTTAGAATCTGGAATTCTAACTTTATGTTATTGGCATTTTGTCAGGTTTTGAGTGATCCTCAGAAGAGAACAATTTATGATCAGTACGGTGAAGAAGGGCTTAAAGGTCAGGTGCCACCACCAGATGCCGGTTTCCCTGGGGGAGCAACTTTCTTCCACACTGGAGATGGTACAACTACGTTTAGATTCAATCCGAGGAATGCCAACGATATTTTTGCCGAGTTCTTTGGCTTCTCTAGCCCGTTTGGAGGAATGGGACGGGGTGGCGAACCTGGCGGTGGCATGAGGGGTGGTTCAAGAGCTTTTGCTGGAATGTTTGGTGATGATATATTTACTTCTTTTGGTGACGGCAGATCAATGAATCAAGGTCCCCGCAAAGCCCCTCCAATAGAAAATAAACTTCCTTGTAGCCTTGAAGAACTCTACAAAGGAACGTCGAAGAAGATGAAGATCTCAAGAGAAATTGCAGATGCAAGTGGGTAAGTGACCATTGCTATTCTTGTTATTCAACATATCCAATTTACATGTGAGTTACTCCATTTTAGGATACTAGCATTTTACGTCTTTAGAAAGTTGGTCAGACAGACTTCAGATAAACCTCAATCTAGATTTTTATGTCTTAGTCTTATAAGCCTTGAGCTAGATTGTTTTAGCATGAGTAATCCCCTTGAACAATCCTTGTTGTAGGACAAGGCAAAGAATTGGTAGGATGTCAATTGTCTTGCCTTATCAGTGCAGATAGTAAAATGAGTTGGCTCTCAGCCCATACCTCTTGTGGGCTCTAGTGAAACTCAGCCCTTGGTGATTTGCTTATAGTGGAGTCTAATTGTCTCCTTCGAATTTCTCGGCTATAGCTCTAATATACAAAATATTGGGTCTCTTGTGTTCTATTCTTATTTACTCTGGCCATGAGTTAGTCTGATTGGGATTCTTGCCTGCAGGAAAACTTTGCCAGTAGAGGAAATTCTAACCATTGACATCAAGCCTGGATGGAAAAAGGGAACAAAGATCACCTTCCCGGAGAAAGGCAACGAGCAACCTAATGTTATTCCTGCAGATCTCGTATTCATAGTTGATGAAAAGCCACATAGCACGTATGTCCGGGAGGGTAACGACCTCGTCGTAACACAGAAGATTTCGCTCTCAGAGGCATTAACTGGATACACCGTCCACCTTACAACACTGGATGGAAGAAGACTGACCATCCCAATAAACAATGTGATTCATCCAAGCTATGAGGAAGTTGTTCCAAGGGAAGGTATGCCAATACCAAAAGAACCATCGAAGAGAGGTAACCTGAGAATCAAGTTCAACATCCAATTCCCCAGGAGGCTAACTGCTGAGCAGAAGTCTGGAATCAAAAAATTGTTGGCTCCATAGAGTGTGTTAAATTATTGTTTGAGAATATACAAATCTGAGTTAAAAGCCTTGTGAATATTTCTTACATTGTGATCTAATTTTTGTTTTTCATCTGCCTGAGAGAGTGGTGGAAGGAGAGAGAGCTGCCATCTTAATTATTAGTTTGTGTTATATAGGAGGAAAAAAAAAACAATACAACCGTGTTCTTATGAATTGGAAAGATTCAATGAAGGCGATGGTGTAATTCTGTAATGCAATAATCTCTGCAGCTCCAAAGATTTAAATCAATACATTTAGGTTGGCAGTAAAGTTGTTTCTCCAAAATCTGTGTTATATAGCAGCACGCTGAAACTGACTACTTAACAAGTTAGAGGGCGGTATTGAATTAGGTTTTAAGTTAAATTTTAAAAGAGAAAGAAATAGTTAGGATTGGTGAAAAAAACTGATTGTAAAATATAAATGTTTTATTGATAAAATTTAATAATTTATTATAAGTACTTCATAAATTATATTATTTGTTAAATTTTGAGATAATATTAAGAATGTGATATAGCTAACTAATTAGATAAGAAAATAAAAATATAAAAAATCAAGAAAGTATTTTTTTTTTCCTACATTCTTTATAGTTCCTTAGAATATTTGGAACTGCTTGTATTCATATTAATCTTAAATTTCTTAATTCTAACAATTGTATTTTACCGAATTATGATATAACTCTACTGTATCACAATGTTAATTTCCTTTAAAGTTGCTACTTAAGACTATTAAACATGACCGTATTCTAATAAGATCACTCTTATGATGAACACACAAACTGTCTAATATATCTCCATAAAACATTATATATATATATATAGGATATTTTACATTCTTAATAAATTTAGTTAAGTTAACAAAAAAATTATGAAGTTTTTGAATTTACTTTAAACATGAAAGCAAATACTAATATCTACGATTTACTATAAAGTCAAATATAGAACCTTGAATATGAAACCATCAACGGATCATAGTCTTCTATCAGCGTACAGAACAGTGTCTTCGGCAGTGAATATAGCGTTTGGTATGGATTTGAAGTACTGTTAAAATATTTATTGAACGTAAAAGAACCTGTGTTTACTATATTAATATATATTCATAACATTATGTAATAAATACTCTGCGTATTAAAAAAACTCTGCATATATTTTATACATAAAACATTATATATAATATAAACTGTTTCGTACGACGCACACACTTATCGATATGCATTTTGCTATACAACTATATATATAATATTTGCAATTAAAAAATTAATTAAAGGTTTCTTTTAATTATTATTTGTCTAATAACATTAAAAAATAAAAATTAATTAACTAATTTTAGTTTTAATAATTATGACAACTGTTTGCATAACGCAGCAGCTGACGACAGGAGATGAGTAACGGGACCGTCGGGGGCCGGCCACAAACAACGATAATGGCGGTTTAATGAAGTAAAAAAGAAATGATTTTAAATTGATTAAAGATAATTTAAATCTATCAAATGCATATTTTGAGTTTGATTTTGCACAATTGATTGTAAATCATTTCTCAAATGCAGAAGCTGCGGTCAGAAACTCACTGAAGAAAAAAAAGAATGGAAAGGCATCCAATCCAATTCCTCTTGTAAAAGTTCAAACAGAATTTTAAAAGAAAGAATTCCATGAAAATTCTACCTCATCAGCATAATAGTGGATGGAAGTAGAAGTTACTATAGACGTAATTTCATAGAACTGCAGAATAAAAAAAACCCAGACTTTAGATTCTCATGAACTACAGCTGTTACTTTATTCATAATAAATTTCTTTTTTCACAAAAAAGGGGCATAATCTAAGGATAATCCAATAAAAGCCTCTGTTTAAATCAATCACCTGTAATGATGAACTAACTCTGCATATCTATTTTAGTTTCAAATTCTTCTCCAGCTACCTGTATCCTGTAAAAGTGAAAAGGGGCCACACCATCCTCCTTTTTGCCCCTATACCCATCACTTGAGAAACTGCACGTCAAAAACATCATGCAGCTTATGAATCAGAAATCCTGTGAATATCCCCAATTTCAATCACTATAATCTTCTGAATCTTCTGATTCCCCAGAATCATTCCCCATTTTATTTGCCATTCCATCGGAGCCTTCACTAGTTTCTACATCATCTTCTAAATCTTCATCTCCCACGTCTTCAATGCCATTATCATCCCCAGAAGCATCATCATTATCGCCGGCGTCATCATCGTCACCTTCACTTCCTTCCATTAGATCTCCATCCCATGCACTGGAGGCACCATCATAACCCCCCTCCCAATTACCTTGCTCATATTCTGCTGCTTGTGCATTGTCATCAGATTCTCCTGCTTCCATGCTGTTACTGCTATCATCAGCGCCTTCCGGAGGCATCATCCTGAACTTTTCACCACTCCATTCCTCG